TAGTAATTAAGGGCGAGTGCAACCTAAGTATATTCTCGTACAAATTCGAACAGCCTAACGAACTTAAAGATCTTGGAATGATAATGTCAAAAAATCTTAACTGGACTTCTCATGCAAACAATCGTGCGAGCAAAGCACTGAAGGCCCTATACGGCATCAAAAGAAACTTATCACCTGCCACAACCATGAACAACAGGAAAAATGCATATAAAAGCTATGTAGTACCTATCGTTAGCTATGCATCATCAGTCTGGAAACCCTCAAAGGAAGATCTTGCCACCTTAGAAAAAGTGCAACAGAGAGCAACGAAATGGATACTTGTTAATAAACAAATTCCTTATAAATCGAGGTTAACCACGCTTCAAATTCTTCCCTTGTCTCTTTACCAAGAAATGCATGTACTACTTTTGTTCGCGAACATTCCAAGAGGAAAGACCGACCTGGAATGGTGGCGATTTATAGAAATCACTGAATCAAATCGACCGAAAACAACAAGACGTTTCAACGCGAAGAACTTTCGACTTCATAAATGCGAAACTGATTTCTGGCAACGCGCCTGCAGCCTGGCAAACATATTTCACGATCACCTGAAATATGAAGTCCTATTAAGTGACTCGTTCAAACCAAAAATATCAAGAGTGTACTGGCAATTCTACGAGAAAATCTACAATGAAGTCGATACCTGCACCTGGAGAATCAACTGCGGATGCACAAGATGCTTAAACTTCAAAAAACTAAACTCATTAAACTAAAATATGATTGATCTCATAAACTTGATTCGGGAGCTAACTCCCATGGATGTATCCTAAATTCTGTTTTATTATTATTATTATAAACCAGAAGGTCGGAAAATTTTAACAAAAACAAAAAATTTTCTCGGGGCTATCACTCCGAAAATTTTGGAGTTTTGTACATACATCAATGCTCGAAAATACTGGTCAAAGCGCTCAAACGTATGCAGCCAAGTCGTGGGTTGAAACACTTTTTCAAGAAAAGGAAGAGTGCGGGAAACTCAAAGTGTTTCAAGGAGATAATGCCTCAGAACTGTCATCATTAATTAACGATAATGACATTAAGACAAATGAATCTCGAGCGGCTGAAACTTTTTGGATACCGTTGTCAAGATTACATGACACGTTTATAGCAACAGAGCTGGAAAGCTCTTCGCTGTTTTGTGTGATGAAAACGAGGAAACCCTGGACAATCAGAAAAACGTAGAACTTTCCATATTTATTTGATGACCACTCGATAATAACTGATTAAAATCTTATTTTGTACAAAACCAAACAAACCTCCTCTGTAACTATCACAGAAACCATCTGAACAGAATTCGAGAAGATTACGAATGTCGCCTTTGCCACCAATCAATGGTCACAGATGGCACTGCCAACGAGAATGGCAGGCTTCGGCATACAGACTCCCTGCGATATTGCTACGAGTGCCTTCCTCTCTTCCTTCGTCTCCACACAGCAGTTATCTGTCCTCTTACACCCCCAGTGCGCAACTGATAGTTTTGCGTCAGCCCTCGACATCTGGTTGAACAAAGCCTCTTGTGCAGTAATTCTTACTGACGATTCAGCCAAACAGAGCAACTGGACCTCTCCCGTATACAGGAAGAAGTTTTCGTCCTTGCTAGCCCTGTGTAATGACCAAGACAAAGGTCGTCTTCTGGGATGTGCGTGTATTGGTTCAGGAGATTGGATAGACAATCTACCATCGTCAACGTTACAGCTGGATTTAACCATTGATGAATTTTGCGTTGCCACTGGTTACAGACTCGGTGCCCCCATTGCGAGCACTTTCAAGTGTGTCTGCGTCTCTTTCTGTGACACCGATGGCGCATTCGCACTCATTTGCTCAAAAATCGCAGCACCTTTCCGAAGACATAACAATTGTAATATCCTTATTAAGCTATTGTTGTCGGCCGCCGGCCTGCCTTCAACACTGGAACCATTGGGCTTGTTGAGGAAAAACGGAATTCGTCCTGATGGTGTCACTTTATCGTCCTGGAAATAAGGGAAAGTAGTGGCATGGGATTTTACGTGCGTAAATCGCTTAGCGAATTCGCATCAGAGACTTGCCACTAACGAAGGTCCAGCAATTGCCAGCGAGGCTGAAAACCGAAAGCGATCACATTATCCAGACCTGCCTTATTTTCGAGCCTTAGGCAATGGAATGCCTTGGAGGAATTGGCGACAGCAGTTTGAAGTTCATCAGAGAAGTATCGAGAAGAATTGCCGAGAATACCAACGAAAAGCGGTCAAACTGCTTTGTCAGACAAAGACTCAGTCTACAAGTCCAGCGAGGAAATGCTGCACGTCTGACAGAAGCTACACATCAGGCTTATTAACGAACATTTTTTAAAACCAGAATGTCTGACAGGTTTTTTAAATTTTTTGTGTTGTAAATAAACATCTTTTCCTATTCCTCTGTAAATGAAAAATTGTAACTACTTCAGCGCGTTTTAATTTTGAATTTGAAAAGTAACTTACATTTCGATATTCATTTACTTCCGGATTAGCCGTTGCACGGACGTTCGCTAAGAAACACCGACGTAGTACTACATTAATGACATTGAACCGGATTTGTGTTCAACGAGGACATCGACGGGGCTGTCCGTGGAGTCTGTGCCATTTCTCAAGTAGCAATTCGAAATTTAGCAAAAACCCAATAAAATAGGTCAAAAATCCAACAAATTAGGGTAGAATACCGAAGAATATATTTTTTAAAATACCCCTGTTGTTTCTCAGAGTCGCTAAAAAACGACATATTTGATATTGATCGGTAAAAAACAGAACAGCCGAATACATGACGAAGAGCGATCACAGAAGACATAGAAAAATGTTTTGCAAAAGGAGTGTAACATTCGCCCGGAAGTATATATCGCCGGAAAATAAAGCTAGGTTGTAAAACGACTGGCTAGCGTCTAAACACAGCTCTACAAGCTTTTAACTGTCTCTACCAAAGCCAGTTCTTTGTGTGGTCCTTTTAACATCGGTTCGACAAAATCGCTACCGTTTTGGGCTATCGGCCAGAACTCTCATATTAACTTAGTTACATGCAAAAGCTTTCTTAGTTACATGCAAATGAGCTCATGGCTGGGTCTCAGTATCCCCAGACCACGAGGTCACTCCTTAAAACAAGGCTTTTACTTATTTATTATATTACGATTGTTTTTATTCAGTAGATGAAAATCATCTTATCCATCGGAGATGGATCAACCTTTTCCATCAACTCCTAGCTTCTCATACTCTGAAAATGAAATCGGTGTTAATTAAATTCAACTCAGGACATTCCAGGTAGTTAAAAGTTACAAAAATGGAGTTAGAGTTTCCTCCCCGAGACCCTTACGGATTCTGGAATGCGGACGAAGAGCGGTCTTATCGTCCTTCCGGAAGGGTGGTAAAATCGCCCCAATACCCTTCCTAATTCTCGGGAAGTCTTCGGTAATGATTGTACAGCTACAATCGTTACAATTCGGACAGCTTGTATTGTTATTTCAGTCGTCAGTATCGCTGTGTCTTCACGAAAATCTGTCCGTATTTTTCTATTCGCGACAATCGTCGTTCTGATTTTTCTCTCATTTTCAGTTGTAGCGAAATTTCGAAGGTCGTGACGTGTCTTTGTTTCAGAACGAATTATTAAATTTTATTACGTCACGGCAAACTGACCATTCGTTCGATTTGTACTGCTAAAACTGCCAATCTTTCCAGTCTACGGGCAGAATAAAATTTCGAAGTCGCCATGCATATTGGCGCCATTCTGGTCGAATGTCACAGAGCCGCCGTAAAATGTTTTGAAAAAGGAGCCTCCGTTATGTTACAAATAGCAATTTAGCTTCAAGGTATCATGGATGTGTAGCTTAGAGGGAGGGAAGGAGACCGCATCTAAATAAGAGGGTTCGAACCTGTGAAGGGCCGCTTGTTTTTCATGAACTTTTTCCTACGCTAGCTGAAATGCGTCCGCTCTATTTATTGAGGTATCTTAGTTGGTAAATTTCTTTTTTTTCAAAATGACTGGTGCTGCTAATATGTCATTGGCTTGCGTCCTTTAGCAATTATGTAGACTCATAATTGGCGTGCGTGGCTTAAGAAATTTTGTAGACTCAAAGTTTGACTCATCAGTTTTCCCCAGTAGCGTTATCGGTCATATTTTTGCTTGTGTATGCGAAGTGAGACTTCGCCTTTGTGTTAAACGATAACTTTAACTTGGTTTCCTCCAAGTAAACATCAACCGAGTGATATAGTTTTGTTTCGGCGTTATTTCCGACAGTGGCTTTCGTATGTGCAATACTATGTGTGCGATGCTTCGGCAGTGTTACGAAGCGCCAGTACGCCTCTGTAACATGAAATTTTGCTGTTTTTTCAACCAGTGAATTGATATATATGCTATAACTCTCGTCGTAAATCTAACATTTTTTGTTCTTAATCTCTTGAAATACTTCAAGAAGATTTAGCGGGACCGAGCCTGTTGAATAGGATTCAGAAAAGAGGTACCGTACTTCTAAACAAGAACTAAGGTTTGGGGTCGTTCCCTTCTAGCCCACCGCCTAGTACTAGTAACACATTTCATAACACCCCGTTCTTTGATTTTTTTGTGGCTGTCTTAGCTGGGGGACTGTAATGCTGGAGGGACTGTCATGGGGAAAAGTTAAGATTTTTTTTTGTAAAAAGAAGGCCAGTCTAAAAGTACGGAAACATTACTTTACAATTCGAGCAGCAAGAGACTTGAACGCACTGCCAAGTGAAGTCATAAACTCTAAAATAACGAAAAATTTTAAAAATAAACTGGACAATTTTTGGAGAAAAACTGGAATCAATTATTTCGAAACTAATAATTGAAAAGGAATACGATACGGCCCAAGCTGATCGAGAGAGACCAAAAATCGCCTATATGATCAGAATGAACTGATCTGAACTGAAAAAGAAGCAGGTCTATAGAACATAACCCTATTAACGTTTTATTATTATAACGACCCCATAACGACTATTAACGTTTTTTAGAAATGAAATGAGTGTAGCTGTCGGGCACAGTCTTTCTATGAAGGTAGGTTTTTGAAAAATTTTGAATGTCTTTTTCATATATTTTGAAACAGTTGAAAATCATTTTTCGGTTTCAGGACTTAAGCAGAAACGAGTTCTTAATAGACCCCAGTAGGTTGGATCTCAGTGATCCTCTCAGCATAAAAAAGTTGAAAGAGTGGAAAACAGAACTTACAAATGAATGGTACAAAGAGCTCAAAATACAGCAGGCGTACCAGAAAATGGAAGGAGTAAGTAATATAGGGGTAGTTGTATTGGAGCTCGCCTGGAAAGCTGTAAAATTCGTTTTGATTTTTGTTAGGCATACGCGCAATACGGCAATCGGAGTCAGATAACTGATAACTCATTGCGCGACTCCAGGATGAGGGCCGATGAAGTTCAGCGCCAATTGACCCTAATTAACGACAAAATCTTCGCATCTGATGGTGACATAGTTTTGCATTAGAATACCGGTTGTGAAAAAAACAGCATGAAATGTTAATAATAATTTGGATTATTTTTAGTGGATTCCAAATTCAGCATGGATCAATCATCTGCTTCCATAACTCAAGACCCTAACAGCAGCGGAGACGAAATCGATCATATCCACTCCAGAGTGAATGGCGCCAAACATCGGCCGACAAATAATGGAGCCAATTTGCATGGCGTTGAATACAGTGGAAGCGGTAGTAAAAATTCTGATTTCGAAGAGCAGCGTAGAAGCTCTGGTCGAGAACTTGTTGATGAGGACGAAGATGAACGACTTAAAAATTTAAGAAGAAAACTTGAAATCGAGCAAGACGTTAGGCGAGGTATGTACGTTAAATTGAACTACGCTAGGTTTACCATGATAAGGAGAAATTTGTTCAAAAGATGGTCAAATTAGGAATGGTGCGCTTGAAACGTGGAATGTATGGTTATTTCACCTAGAAGATTTGAAAATGGAGAAGAACTTTGTCTTCTGGCGTGTTTTATTTTTTTTCGTTTTCCCTACAAAATCAGTTACACCATATAATCGTCCGAATGGCTCGAGTGATATATCATTTTAAAGCCCTCTCAGTCGTGTGAATTGAACGGCAATATGAAATTTTCAAATAGATCTTCCCAGTGTCGAGCAAATCCACTTTGAAGTTTGAAGAAAACTAATTTTGAAAGCTTCATTTAGCTCTTCCTTGGCGATAAAGTTTTTTTTTATGAAATCAAAAAATTATTCTGCCATTGAAGTGGTCGGAACATCATGTGCTAAATGAACACCAACCGGCTATCCCTGTTTTGATATGTGCATTATCCGTTTTTTTTTTAATAGCAATCGACTCGGTCTGGTATTTATTATTAAAACATGTATGAAAACAAGCGTGCAAAAAGCGGATGTGGTGAATGCTTCGATTTGGGCGCGGCAGACTTAGATTCAATCCCCCAGTCTGGACTATTTGTTTTCAAGGATCGATTTCTCTAGAGCTAATTTTCATTTTTTGCAAACTGTTTGTAAAAACAGCAACTATTATCTATGTTTTGCTTGGCCTCTGCAATTTTGCCTATGTGTTGTTTGTATCCCTAGTTACTCTAAGTTATAAAGTTTGTATCAATAGTTAAGAAAATGCAAGTTAGAATCATACAAACTGAACGGCAGTCATGTTTTCTCCGTTTTAGGAACTGAGAATTTGATTAGCCAGTTCAAGAAGTTCAACAAGAAGCAGGAGTTATTCGAAACTGAAGATATGCTGAAAGAGAGCAAGACGAAAATCGAACTGATCAAAATGAGCATCGCGAGGGTTCGAAATGAAAATGCGAAAGCAGGCAGGGGTAAGACGTCGATAGATCGGCAAAATTTTAAAGCTTTTGAAAACGCACAAAGTTACCCTGTTTTTTTCTATTTAGGAGATGAAATTGGTTCTCAGTCGTTAAACGAAAGAATCGAGGATATCAAACACCGCATATGCGTAGAATGGAGGATTGCTGAAGGAGCAAGGAACATGATGAAGTTGCCAAATGCAGACAAGAAAGCAATGAACGAGACGAAAGAGCGGGTGGCTGAATGTGAAAGGAAACTTGCTATTTTGAAGTACAGTTTGGAAAAGAGGGAGTTTGAATTGCAAATAGTTGAATATGGGCACACAGCCCCGATTCCCACGGTAGACATAACTCAGATTGCAGCTCAAGGCGCAACTCTGCCACCAGATTCAAATCTGTACCGCAAAGCGGATCCTCTTACTGGAAACTTGAAGATACAGTTGCTAGGTATGACGGTCTTTTGATTCACCTTAGAAGTCTCTTAGTTCTGCATATGGTTCTTTGTAGGATTGCAATTCAAATTTTATAAATTATAACTAATTTGTTTTTAAGGATGCCAGGATGTTCTTCTTGGATTGCCGCAGAATGCGTCCAGAGTTTCACTAGATTCTGGATTGGATTCTGTATCCTCTTCAGGCTCAAACAAGTCTAGTCGGATCCTGAAAGGGTCAAGCAAGGACAAGAAAGAACGCAAAAGCACTGAAAACAAGGAGGCGGACAAATCATCAGGTCGGGCATTTACAATTCGATCGCTGTAACAAATCAAAAAATTGCTTAAAGAGTTAATGTTTTCAAAATCGAAAATCAACGAAAATTTAAATGCTTTCATAGATGATTAGGTGGGCTATGTTATAAGGTTGTAATTGTTTTCCTGTGTTTAGATCTATTATTTGCCAAGATCAAAATTGACAACGCACCTGTAGCGCAAACTTCTTCGAAGCCAATGAGTAACCAGGGTTGGATTGAAGACGAGGAGTTCAGTATCAATCTAGAAAAAGTAAATTTTTATCCTAATGAAGTGGGTTTGTACAAAAAACAGTTGAAAATTCGTGATTTTTTTGACGACGTTTGAGGTGTTTGACCAGTATTTTTTCTGTTAGGCGCGTGAAATTTGCATCGAGATACACTGGAAAGATTCGAAACAGATATGCGCTCTCAAATATCTCAGACTAGTCGATTTCCTCGACAATAAACCGCACGGCCTATGTCTGCACATGGAACCACAGGGAACCCTCTTTGCCAAAATCCAATTCACAAGCCCTGGTCTGAAAAAATCAGCGGCCAGACTTCAGAGGCAGAAAGGATTGGCAAAAAGGAAGAACTTCATGCGACAGACGGAGCTAAATACGACGTTTGCTGCGTGGACGCGGCTGCTGCTCAGGGGAGGAGCTGATAGAAAGATGTCCCAATACAATCCTCCCAATTCTTACAACACAACAGGTAATTCATTTATCAATCAGTAGTCTTCTTTCTGGGATATAATTTTGGTGCAAGTGATTGGATTAGAAGTTAAAAGCACCCAACCGTTCAAGAAAACATCTAGACGCTGAATTTGATAAAAATTGGTTGACTGATACGAAGTATCTGATCATATTGGTACGAGGTGTGACAAATAATATTCTGTTTTCTTTCGTTGGCGCGTTTGATGGCTAGCTCTGTCGGCTTATTTGCTACGACGTTCTTGCACATGCCTTACATTTCAATCTTTCGTAGTGAACGCCAAGTTTTCTAATCGCCAACTATATTTATTTCAATTTTAAAAAGGTAACAAGATGTTTTTAAAATGATTTATATACGACGGAAAAGACTTTGATACGAGCTGTTCAGCTCTTCTTAAATGTCAATGAAAGAAGTTAAGGCACTTATTTAGGTCGTGTTTTTAAGGGTCGATGAACAAAGTTCAGACTCATTGGGCGCAATGATTTTTTGTTAGTTTTTTTTTCTTCAGGAAAAATCTTAGTTTGTTCAGGCTCAACAATATTTTTTTGCGGTTTGACTTTTGATTTCTTTTTAAGTTCAGTTCGTTTCCTGTGCTTAAAGGAAGACAATGTCCACTATCGAACAGCAAAAGTGTAAAGGTTACGAAAAACGTGATTGGCTTCTTGTTTCGTAAATGGAATTTAATTTTCGAATTTCCCTGCGAAATAAAAAAATATTACCTATGAATCCAGTTTTCTCAAATTGGGTTAATTTGATCAAAATAGTGTCAATCATCAATTGTTCTAAAAATTCAAAGAGCTGTGAGGCCATCTTTTTTTTTCTTTGAAATTCGAAAGTTGAGATTTTTTTCAAGAAATATGTCCATATTTTTTCCTGATTTGCGTTCATTGACACTTTTCCAACTGCCTGTTGTCATTTTTTTTGTTTTTTTTCCCAAAAAAAGTCAAATATTCAAGCCTAAATTTACTTTTTCGTGGTTTGAATTTTGATTTTTCTATGTTCTTATTATACAAGCAAAGTGTATTGTATGAAATCTCCTTTTTTTCAAACAAATCGCAAATATTAGTGTTCGTTTTGAACTCAAATGTACTTTTTCGTGGTTTGAGTTTTGATTTTGTTAAGTTTATTACACAAGCAAAGCTTGCGTGATTGTATGAACTCTCTTTTTCCATCCGCAAATATTAGTGATCATTTTGAAATTGTTCATTTTGATCAATAACCAGCTATTAAGTACAGCCAATGCTAATGGATATTAACAAAGACTATTATATTACAAATAGCACTTAATCTTCTAGGTGGCATGGATCTGTAGCGTAGAGATAGCGAAGTAGACCCACATCAAAATTAAAGGGTTCGAACCAGGGCAAGGTCGGATGTTTCTAATGATTTTTATCGTCTACTTGTTAAAATGCGTCTGCTCTATAAATAAGCATGTTAGTTGGTAAATTTATTTTTTTTCAAGTTCACTGGATTGCTAATGCGTCATAATTGGCTTGCGTCACTTAGCAATTTTGTTGACTAATAATTAGAGTGCGTCACTTAACAAGTTTTTTAGACCCAGTTTTACTTTTTCAGTACTTCCCAGTAGCGTTATCGGTCATATTTTTGCTTGTGCATGCGAAGTGCAACTTCGCCTCTGTTTTACACTTGCGAAGCGAGTGCATTAGTACGAACCTTCAAAATTTTTTTTCCCAACCTAAGTCGAAATTATTCTGCCGTTTTTAGGACACCTGTACAGCTTCTCATAGCATGTGCTTTGACATTCGAATAGTAATAATTTAACACAGTTGATGCTTTTTCAATTCATCAAATGAGTCGAAAAAGTGATGTGATTCAAATAACATTCCAATAATGAAAACTCGATTTTAGTGCTTTATTCGTGACTAGTGTTTGTCGGTTGTTAAGCTTGCGTGGCTGAGTGGATAGTGCGTGAGACTCAAAATCTCTTGATTGCAGTAGTTCGCAGATCGAATCCTAGACCTAGTCGAGTTTTTGCTAATTCGAGGTTAATATGATTTAAAAAAGTCTCAATAATAAATTGTTTTAGAAATTCAAAGAGCTTTAAATTCAAAATTGTACTGGAAGAAATGCAAAAAACTAAGGATAATTATGGCTGGAAATGCCAGAATTGCACGTTCACGATATAAAACGACTATTTCAAATCATTTAGAACGCAATAAAATTTTGATAAAAATTGCTCGTTTGTGATCGAACTTTTTTGCGTTGGAATCTGAATGATCGTAAAATTATTTGTTTCGATAATATTTGTCTGCATATTTACTTGAGCGAGCTTCGAGCGTAGGTTATTAGTACCCATCTTCTTTTCTTTCTAGCCTACCTCGCAGATAAAACAGTGCTTCAAAATTGTTCTGTTATTTGGTTGCTTTTCTGCTATAATTACGATCTGTAGCATTGGAAAAATCATAGATTCTGTTATCTGCTTCATTTGTGGCTAGTGTTTGCGATTTATTCAGCTTTTGGGCTGAGTGGTTAGTGCGTGAGACTTTTTTTTTCATGTCATTACTGCTCCATAGACCTTAAAATGCAGTCGGAAATTTCAGTGCTTCGCCCTGGTGCAAGTAGTCATGTTTCTATTCCTTATTGCTTTTTATAGAGCTGCTTTTTGTCATGTTCTCGTTAGTGTTCGCGAAGCGAAGCCCAGCCTCTGTTTAACTAGTTTTATCCAATAAATTGTTGAATTCGTCTTATTTGGTTGGGTGGTTTGTTTTAAGTGGCTTTTTATATCTTTTTGTATTTTGATACAAAAGCCACTTTTTAGCGTTTTTTTTAATCGGAAGGCTTAATTTTTTTTCAAGCTCAAATTTTCTTTTTCGCTGTTTGACTTTTGAGTTCTTTTTTTTTAGTTCTTTACTTAGGTAAAAAAGGCAAATTCCGTAATCGAAAATGGTGATCGACTTCTCATTTTGAAAATGGAATTTAATTATCAGATTTCCAAGCCAAATGAAAACTTTACCCAACAATCCAGTTTTCTCAAATTGGGTTAGTGTTATCAAAAATGTGCTAATCAAAAATTGTTCTCAAGTTTCAAAGAGTTTTAAGCAGAAAAACTTTGCGTGAGTGGAACGGAACGATTTGTCAACATAATGAAAACAAAATTTCAGACCTTCAATTCATTTTCTTCTGTTTTTCTGAAAATCTACATAAACTATCCCAAAGTGCAGTCGGATTGTAAGGGTCGTCGTGATATAGGTCATGGTGATTTTTCAGTGTTTTCTTTTGGAAAAAGTCTTTATATTCTCTAGTAAATACAGATGTGCATTCATACTTATTAATGCATTAATGAATTGTATATGTGCACTTTTTGATTTCAATTTAAATCCATCTGCTAAAAATGAGGTAAATTGCTCTCTGCAAAATGGGAAAGTGTTAAGCTCACGAAAAACGTGATGGATTCCTAGTTTCGAAAGTGGAACTTATTTTCAGATTAACCAGCGGAATGTAAACTAAACGTATTAATGCAGTTTTCTCAGAGTGAGTTGATCTAATCACAAAAGTGTCAATGATAAATTCGTCTTCAAATTCAAAAAGGGTTGAGGCTATATATTTTTAACTTAGAAATTCGAAAGATGAAGTTTTTTTTTCTGTTTACTTGCGTTCATTGACTCTTTTCCAACTCTGTTAGCTATGTTCAGGGCTTTCTCCAATACGAGTACTTAATGTGAATTTCAGTTAAGTCTTTGATAGAAACTAATTAGCAGTTTTAATATACTTACAGTCGCGAGAGCAAGTGTCTTGTAACCAGAAACTAGAATTTTTTCCCCGTAAAACAACTTTTCTGACAAATTTTACTTGTTTTTCTTCCTCGCTCTTTTATTGAATTTTAACAACTTCCAGGATCGTGATCATTTGGCCTAGAGGTAGATTGGTTGTGTTTGCACCCTTGGGCCTAAGGTTCGAGTCCCGGCCGGACCTTGTTTTTTCAGTATGTATGAAATTGAAGTTGTTTTCTGGTAAAAATTGAATCATCGGGCTTTCATTTGTTGCTCAAATTTCGTCGATTTTTTTTTAGCTCAGTGCATCTCCATTGTTAAAAGGAAGGCGAACTGTACTATCGAACAGCAAAAGTTCTTGTTTCGAAAGTGGAATTTAATTATCAGATTTCCCAGCGAAATAAAATCTTTACCTATTGATCCAGTTTTCTCAAATTGGTTGTTTCATGAAAAAATTATAATTTTTTTTAGAAATTCAAAAAAGTTTAAGGCCATCTATTTTTTCTTTAAATCGAAGAATGAGATTTTTTCAAAAATCAAGTCAGTTTTTTTTGTTTTTTTTTGCGTTCATTTCTCTTTTCAAACTATCAGTTGGCACTGTTCATTATAGTTGCAAGTGTTGTTTTGTTCATTATATTTTGGGACTTCAAACTTTTTTACAGAATCATTTTTTTTCGGCTCAACTGGTGTCTGCTCAAAAATGGTGGGCTTTGTTTCCGCTTCGTCAGTTTTGTTCCGCTTCTAATTTAAAATTCAAATGTTTTGTTTGGCGAGACATACGAAAAATTTAGTAGACCTAGTTTTTCAACATTTTTCGTTTTTGTCTTTCTATTGTTTTTTATGTTTGTGTTTATTGCAAGTGATGCGAAGCTCCGGTTCGCTTCTGTGTTGAAAAATGTTATTCGGTTTTCCTGTTTCCATCATATTGTATCATAAATGGTGCGGAGTTTCGCTTCACTTTGCGTAAAAATTGTCAACCACTAAAGATTCTTTAAATTGAGAGGTTGTTGAAAACTATTCAAAAATAAAATGTCTATCATTTAGTTTGTTTTCTTGAGTTCATTGACCCTTTTCTAACTATTATTACTTAAAACCGCTGTTTCTCCCGTGGTTAAGAATGCATATGGTTTTCTGAATTTTCTGGGCCCCGGGTAATGTTACTTCACCCTCAAGCTACGAGCACGAATCATGATGAATTTCGAGGCGCCGACTTTTCGACTGATAGGCGAAGACTTAGCCCCTTAATTATTACTCCCCAGAATTCAACTTATAGATCATTGTTGCGTTGAGTGCAAATTTTTAATGTAAACGTGACGCTTTCAGGTCGAAACGCATCTCCCAACGCCTCTTACTATCACGCCCAATTCGCCACTGTCAGTGGAGCTAAAAGCTCAGAGAACGTTACCCCGGTCGCACCACCGAGGAAGTCCGCTGATGCACCACACTACTCGGGACAGAAGGCCGTTCTAGGAACCTCAAATCGGCCAGAATCCACACAAGTTTCACACTTCTCGGCATGTGTATCTCAACTAAAGACAGTGAATAACAATCCTGCAAATAACAATGCGACTCTGGATGCTGCCACGAAGCAGTATGTTGAGAGCAATTTTAATCTCGGAGGAGCGACAAAACCAGTTGAAGAGTTCCAGCTACCGGAAGCAAACTCAGACTTCTCGTCTATGCAGATAAGCAGCGGACTGTCGAAGGCAGTCTCGAATGCTCCGCTTTTACCTGAAGCTCTTCCACCTTCGCAACCATCTCAGCCCAGTCATTCCAGGTCGCCCCAGACCAATGTGACAGAAGTGTTGCAATCCCAATCCTCGAATAGTCGCAAGTTGGGAAAACTCAAAGATGGCATGTCTACCTTCTTAACTATAAAAGACTTCAGGTGAGTTTCCTTTGGCTATCCTCCGATGGCCATCCAAAGACTTTGACGGTCTAATTTTGATTGGAAATTGCTGCTCAACAACATTTAATGGGCTACAAATAAAGTCTGTAAGAAAGGTACAATTTTCTACTTCTTTAATTAAAGGGGAAAAACTGAATGCATTTCAATGTCAATTGAATAGGTCATGTAGATGTGTGTTATTACACGAGAGAGAGAGAGAGAGAGAGAGAGAGAGAGAGAGAGAGAGAAAGAGAGAGAGAGAGAGCGTCATGCAATCGGGAATAATTGGGTTATTTTTTTTTTGAAAAAAATGATAATAATTGATTCTTGAAACTGGAAGATGTTTTAATTGGTTACCCCTGCGATAAGTAAGGGTATTGCAACCGGGTACTAGACTTTTTCCCCGTGAAGACTTTTCTTCGCAGGGCTTTTCTCCTGGACTCTATCTATCATCTACTGGGCCTTTCTGTTGCAACAGACATTTTGAGCATGTTGGCATTTTAAATCTTATCGAACTTTGACTTTTAAGTTGGTTGTAATTTTGCCAAATCGATATGTCAAAATTTTGTTTTTTCTTGTCTTTTTTTGGCCTAGTAGGTTTCTGTTTTTTTTTAAAATATTGTTTCAGTGGTCTTTTATTGCGTAGTTTGAGGACCGGAAAACTTTTTGTGCGCTTGTGTGCGTTTTGAGGGAAAGAGGAAATGAAGGGTTTTACTGTATTTTCGCCTTTGTTACCGCTTGATAACTATAATTTCATATTCAATCGATCATCCGGCTCATCTGGTGTAGAGTTAACACAACTGCTTGAGACGGCAAAGTGTTGTGGCTCAAATTCTGACGGGACCTGTTTTTTTTTGTAATGAGTTTTTGCGCTTTTTCGGACTATCGTTTTAGCTGTTTGTTTTTTTTTCGGCTTAGTTCACGTTGCCCAATTTCTTTTTGAGGCTCAGCTTTCTCCCAAGGTGCTGTAACACCCATGCTTGAGACGAAAAAGCCCGGGAGTTCGATTCCAGTCGAGACCTATTTTTTGCAAACTGAAAAGTTTCGGCTAATATAGATTATGCACTTTTTGAATTCAATTCAACCCAAGAAAAGTTTTGTGAATTGCGCTCTCCAATTACTAAAACGCAAATGACGCGAAAAAACGTGAAGGTCTTCTAGTTTTGAATTTAATTTTCATACTTTAAAGCAGATAAAAAATTTTACCCACTCATCCAGTTTTTAACAGTCGATGAACTTAGTTCTGAATCTTATGTAAGTCGTGATGACTGTGTTCTTTTTTTTTTCAGGAAAACTCATAAAATTTGGTCAGGCTCAAGTTTTTACGTGACTTGACTTGTGATTTTTTTAAGTTCAGTTTATTTCCTTTGTTAAAAGAAAAGCTAATTCTACTATCGAACAGCAAAATTGTAAAGGCCACTAAAACATTATCGACTTCTGATTTTGAAAATGAGTTTTAATTATTTTATTCCCAGCGAAATAAAAATTTTATCTTCGACCAAGTTCTCTCAAATTAGGTTAATTTTATCCAAAAAAAAACATTCATAAATGGTTTTAGAAGCCGAAAGGGCTTTTAGGCCATCATTTTTTTTCTTCGAAATTCGAAAGTTAAGATTTTTGTCAAAAAGCAAGTCAGTAGCTTTTTTTCGGTTTATTTGCGTTCAATAACTATTTTTCCAACTTTCTTTTGGGCATGTTCTTAAATTGGTTCAGTTTTAGCAAAAGAGTGTCATTCATATTGGTTCATGGAAATTCGGAAGCTGAAAATTGTTGGAAAAATTTCATTTTTTTTTTCAGTTTTCTTTGTTCTTTTGAACTTTTCAAACTTTTCTTTTGAACTTGGCTATGCTTTTTGTCGGCGTAATTTCCACACAAGGTGCTGCAAATATTTTTCATTTGCTGTAAGTTGTTTTCATTGTAATTACAAGTTTTATTGATTTACTTCTTTAATTTTGAAGTTTTTTAGCCGTGACAATGTATATTTTGTTTGTTTTGTTTTAGCTTACAAGCTTTATGTGCACGAAATAGTTTGTTATTGTTTTTATTGGCTTAGTGGCCTACTTATTTTGCGTTTTTGTTGCGAAATATTTTTAACGTCCCCTTATGGAAACGAAAGTACGAAAAACTTAAAGTTTAGCAATTTATAGCTCGTTGTAACTGAAAGTAGATTTGTTTTCGGCTCAACAGAAGTTTTCTTTAGCTTCATTGCCGATTGTTTAATATTTTTTTGACCTTTTTTGTTTTTTTTTTGCGCAGGCAGTTATTTTTTTTACTTTAATTCTTTCGACTAGCATTTGGTAACATTTCTTTCTGCTAGCTTGCAATTACTTTTGTGGTATCGCAAGTGATAGCACGCTTTGCATTGCATCTGGGAAAGATTTGTTTTAATTGTTCCTCAAGATTCAATGAACGTAATGAAGACAATAATTATTTTGGTCGTTTTTGCTTCAAGGAAAAATTAAAAATTGTTCACACCAAATTTAGTGTTTTAGTGCTTGACTTAAGTTCAATTCAAATTCATTTAGTAATTAAAAAGAAGGCAAATTGCGTTCTCCAATTTTGAAAGGGGAAGTGGCCAAAAAGTTTGAGCTATTTTAGTACCGAATGTGGATCAGTGTCAAGGAACAAAGTGATTGTTCTTTGTATAAGTCCTGATGTTTTTCTTAGGAAAGTCCTAAAGTTGGTTCACCCTGTTCTGATTTATCGCGGTTTTATTTTTGGTTTCTTTTTAAGTGCAATTAATTTCCTTTGTTTATGTGTCACTAAAAACGTAAATGTAACTAAAAACGTGAATGCTTCCTAGTATCAAAAATTGTATTAAAAAATTGTATTGTTTCCTAGTATTCAATTTTCCAGGGAAAAACAACAAATTGTATTTGATCCAGCTCTCTTCAAATAGGAAAATTTTATGGAAAAACATCGATCATAAACAATTCTTGAATTTAAAAGAACTTGTGGGTAAAATATTTTTCTTTACACTAACGCGCGTAGTGTGTTAGTATGACCTTTTTTCAACCTAACTCACAAATAAAAGTGCTCATTTGGTGGCACTTCTGCTATAATCACAATCTGCAGTAGCATTGAAAATTTCAAAGCATGTGTTCTCTGCTATATTTGTGTCTAGTGTATGCCGTTATTTAAGCGAGCGTAGCTGATAGGGAAGGATGTGAGACTCTAAATCTCGAAGTCGCTGGCTCGAATACGACGCAATGCAAAATTTTTCCTAATTTGAGGCTTATTTCTACTCGTCTGTGTCATAAGTTGAAATGCTTTAAAAAATTTTAATCGATTATTTTCGGTTTGCTTGTTTGTTCACACTTTCCAACACTTTTCCATCTGTTGACTGTTTTTAAATCTTAGACTTCCCAGGGTAATAAAAATTTACCTATAGATCCAGTTTTTTTTTTCAAATTTGGTCAATTTTATCCTAATGAAGTGTCAAGAATAAGTTGTTCTGGAAATTTAAAGATATTTTTTTCCTTTTTGCTAGTTTTATATACAGTCTACTATTTTTACATCACCAGTAGTGCAAAGTTCCTCTTCCCCGCTGTGGTAAAAGTTAAAAAAGTTAATTTTTGAGGAATTAATTTTCTGGTATATTCAAGTATCTGAAAGCTCGTTGACGCAATATGTCGGGTGTTATGAAAAATAAAACCGATTTTGTGTGAATGATTTTTCTAGACTCAAGACGGTGCTGGGTAGGGGTCACTTTGGAAAGGTCATTCTGGCGGAGTACAAAAACACGAACGAACTGTTCGCTATCAAGGCCCTTAAGAAGGGCGACATCATAGAGCGCGAAGAGGTTGAGAGTCTGATGACGGAGCTGAAGATATTCGAAATGGCTAATAAAAACAGCCACCCTTTCCTCGTACAGCTATTCGCTTGTTTCCAGACGAAGGTAGTTTAACTAGGTTACATTTTGAAAGTATCACAGAGTGATCTGAATATATGTTTGCTGCATCTGTAATGCAATTTGAAAATTCATCAAAGAAATTGTTTTTCGCCAGTTATTTGAAAAAGAAATTGACAATTAGAACGCCGTCAGACCTAAACATGATTATCTCTTTTGTTGGCAAAATATTCAGTTTTCAACGTTGGAATTCCTTATTTTCAATCCCAAGTTTGTTGAATATGGTTCGATTAGTTACAGAATAACCGATAGCTTACAAAGTTGTTATTTGATGTTTGCTTGTAGGACCACGTGTGTTTTGTTATGGAGTACAGCTCAGGGGGAGACTTGATGATGCACATCCACCAGGAGGTATTTAGTGAGAAGAGAACGGTATTCTACTCTGGCTGTGTAGTGCTGGGACTGCAGTTCATGCACGACAATGGAGTCGTCTACAGGTAATATTGAAACCAATGTCAGTTGACTTAAGAAAAGAACTCTTTTGCATAATGACCTATCAAAATGACTATATGTAAGGATAGATAACTCTGTAGCTTCAAATCCAATATGCCACGAAGTTTGGACACAAGTATCACGCGAGATATGATACATAAAAACTTTCTTGACATGAACTCTGAATGATAAACGAACTAGGATAGCCAGTTGCTCTGCAAGTGGCACAGAATATTCCGACCTCAATAATCATAAGAAAAGAAATTCAAATAGAAAGATAATGATGACTGGAGTACAAAAATTGATGTACAGAACAAAAAATCTTATTCAGGCAAAAACCAGAAAAACGCGCTAACATTATTTCATCCATGTCAATGGTCTTTCAAATGGCGTAATTCAGAAAAAGCGCTAACATTATTTCATTCCTCAAGGGTCTTCCAAATGGCGTAATGGTCTTTCAAATGGCGTAATTCAGAAAAAGCGCTAACATTATTTCATCCGTCAAGGGTCTTCCAAATGGCGTAATGGTCTTTCAAATGGCGTAATGGTCTTTCAAATGGCGTAATGGTCTTTCAAATGGCGTAATGGTCTTTCAAATGGCGTAATGGTCTTTCAAATGGCGTAATGGTCTTTCAAATGGAGTAATGGTCTTTCAAATGGCGTAATGTGTTGTAGAGATCTGAAGTTGGACAATTTGTTACTGGACAGCACTGGCTACCTGAAGATAGCGGACTTTGGCCTCTGCAAACCTAACATGTTCCATGGGGACCGCACGAGTACCTTCTGTGGCACCCCGGAGTTCCTCGCGCCTGAAGTGCTCACCCAGCCCTCTTACACCAGAGCCGTTGACTGGTGGGGGCTTGGTGTACTCATTTATGAAATGCTCATCGGAGAGGTAATCATTTCATTCTAATGTTCGCATTCATCGTTGATGCTCAAACGTATTCATCAAGTTCCAAACTATCATATAGTCTGTCTTTTTTGGGGATTGCATAATTGTTATCTATGCTTAATAGTTGTATACGCAAAATAGTTATTTCATTTACGAAATGCTTGGTTTACTCATTTTTAGTGAATACATCTCATAATAGTCCATCATTTATTTACTACGAGTTTCTTTCCTACTATGATTAAAAGCAACTCCAAATCTTACCTTGGGGACTAACTTATTTTACGAATATAAGATATTAATTTATTGTTGGTGAATCACTGTTTCAGAGTCCATTCCCTGGAGACGATGAGGAGGAAATTTTTGATGCAATTGTCCACGACGAGGTTCATTACCCCAGGTTCCTCTCAGCCGAGTCGCTGAGCCTACTTCGCAAACTACTGAGAAAGAAACCCGAGTCCCGTCTCGGATACTCGGAAAGAGACGCCGAAGACGTCAAATCCCAAGCCTTCTTCAAGAACCTAAACTGGGAAGACCTGCTGATGAGGCGAATCAAGCCGCCATTTGTTCCGGTTATAAATAACCCGGAAGACACGAGTAATTTTGACGAGGATTTCACGAAAGAAGCACCGGTTCTGACGCCCCCAAAGGAAAACCCAAGACCACTCACAATACGCGAGCAGGACGAGTTTAAGGATTTCGAATATATGACTGATTGGTGTTAGCAAGCCAGCAAACTTGGAAGGAATTGATGGGCTTTGTTATTTGCTTATAACTTCCACTATGATTCTGTACACTGAATGAAGTTTGAAATTTATCGAGCGTAGATTTTTTTGGATCTCCTGTAAAAAGAATTTTATCATCTCCCTTCCGTGCTTCCTGAACTCATCATCACGTTTCTTAGTTTTATATGTCATGATTTTAAATTAAGTTAGCCATTGGATTTAAGTTGGAAAAGATATTAAAAACGGCTGTAAAATGAGATCGAAATCCATTAAAACAGAAGGTTTACAATGAGTTCATAGTTGGCTAGCGGTTTGAACTTGACATATTTCTCGAAATGTGCATTAATAATCTATTTCAACTTTATGGTATACATCTTCCACTTATTGTCTAAGACTTACTTTGTCCATTTGAAAAGAGGTTAACTTTAGCTTGAAATCATCAGGTAAAACGAAGGCCAGTGCCTTAAATTGTTCTAATGCCATATTGTACTCCAAAAATTTGAGAATACTAAATGTTTTTTTAAAAGCATGTGATCAAATGGCCAGTAGCAGGAAAAGTTCTGCTTCAGTTTTGCTACATCTAAAATAAAATCTTGGTCTTAAATTTATGTTAATTTAATTTTGTAGAAATATTAATGACGAACTCCGAGCAAGTTTATTTCAGTTTGAAAATTAATTTTCGAGCACTTGTTTTGAGAAAAGTGTTCGTCATATCATTGAAACCTGAGCTGTTTTCATTGCGTTAAATATCTGTAAAAATACATAATAATTGATAAACATCTTGCTTTCAGTAGAGATGAAACTATGAAAAAATGTTTCAATTTAGTTGTTAATTTGCATGTAGTTACCCTAAATAACCAACCTACCATAGTTGCATTAACATAACCTTAACTTTACAGTAACCCTGTACTTTTGGCATACATTCTTTTTAGATGGTGCGAGTCAAATTTCTTTTCACGCCTACCAGTTATAAATAGCTCTTCTTTTTTAAAGATCAATAAATTGCAATTTTTTGATTACTCACTTGTCAAATCACCGAAGCTTTGTTTTAAGAGGTGAAAGTTAGATTCAATCTTTTTAAGTATTTTTTTTTCAGTGACTCATGGAAAATTGAAATTAGAATTTGTGCAATTCCTGTTAATATGAACCGAGGAAGTGATTAGTCAACCGATGTCAAGATGAAGCCAAGTGATTGGTCTAAAGCGCGCGAAATGGTTGTTAAAGTAAGCGATCTGCCCGAAGGAGTCACAAGATGCTTCACCAAAGGTCAGTACTATTTACACTTGCGAGATCAAGTGTTTTGTAATCGGGAACTGACTTTTTTTTCGTAAACAAATTTTCTTACACATTTGTAAGAATTGTGAAGTTGCTTTATTAAAAAAATCTCAACAACTTTGAGACAGTTTCGCTTTAAGCCTAGAGGTTACGCGGTTGCCTTTCTACCCTAAGGTCTGGGCTTTCAGTCCCGGCAGGAACTTTCTTTTTCAGTATGTATGAATTGAAAATTATTTTTTTTTCCGGGAAAATTGAACTGTCTGACTTTCGTTTTTCTGCTTATGCTGTGTCGGCTTCGTTTGCGTGTTGCGGATTTTTATTAGGTTGTCAACTATTTGCATCCCTGAACCGCGTGTTTTTGATTTACTTCGGTAATTTGGAAAATTAATGGCCCTGACGTAGTATGTTTTTCTTCGTTTTTTTTTCGCTAAAAACTTTTATTCGGCCTAAATGGTTTCGGATTATGTTGTTTGTCGGCTTAGTTGCCTTATTTTGTGTCGCTTCGAGAGCAAAAGAAGATTGATTGTTTTTTGAGAAATGAAGGTTTTTTGTGTTGCAAGGTTTCAAACTTGAAAAACTTAATTATTCAAATTTTTTATGACAACAATTTTTGGTGGCATTTTTTTATTTTCAAATCAATGTTCGTCTTACCACTTGTTGTCGGTTTTGTGGCGCTCTGTTAATTCTAAAAGCTTATTCTATACTGGTGGTTGGGTTTTTTCGACTGTGTTTCTGAAGTTCTTTTCATTTTCGATCTAGATTTGGTTATTTCCGTTTCATTGCTATTAAGAGTATTGAACGTAGTAAGTACTCTTATAGATGTCTTGCTGATTTTTTTTTGTTTTTTTTTTCAAGAAAAATTCTTAAATTTTGTTCACACTCAATTTTGTTTTTTTTTTTGCGATTTGACTTGTGATTTATTTTTAAAATCAGTGCATTTCTATTGTTAAAAGGAAGGAACTCTACTATCGATCAGCAAAACTGTAAATGTCACGGAAAACGAGATCGACTTCTAATTTCGAAAATGGAAATTCATTATCAGATTTCCCAGCGAAATAAAAGTTTTACCTATTGATCAAGTTTTTTCAGTTTGAGTTAACTTTAACAAAAAAAGTGTCCATCATTAATTGTTGTTCAAATCCAAAGAGATTTAAGGCCATCTATTTTCTTCGAAATTCAAAAGTTGAAGGTTTTTGGAAAAAAAATAGGTCTGCTTTTTTTTCATCAGTTTCCTTGTGTTCATTACGCTTTTGCGACTGTCAGGTGGCTATATTTTGCTTGCTTGAATTGCTGCTCTTGCGTTGTATTGCAAGCGATGCGAAGCTCCCCTTCGCTTGTGTTTAATTTCGGCTCAATGGGTGTCTGCACAGTTTTCTCTCGGCTTAGTTGCCGCTCGATATTTTTTCTGAATGATTATTGAAGTTCGCGATAATGTTTTTGACATGATTTTATAAAACCAATCTTCTTTCCAGCCAAACCAATGAAATTTTTGCCTGATGAGATTTCAATAGTTTTTAACTTTATCCATCCGGCAGCTTTCAATATTATGCTTGTTGGTAGCGCAATTCGTGCGAAGCTCAGCTTTGCTTCGTGTCAATATGGAGGCAGACTCAGCGCCAAAAATGGACTCAATGAACTCTACGTTACATTTACTACCTTCTAATTAGTGCTGGCTATGTTATAATAAGAAGCCATTTTTTTAAACCCTTGCGATCAGCAAAGGGTATTGCAATCGGGTACTAGACTTTTTCATCGGGTACAAGACTTTCTCCCCGTAAATTACTTTGTTCACAGAAAGGCGAAAATTAGAAATTGTAAGTTTACGCTCAGCTCATAATGAATTGAAGTTTCTTTGTGTACCCGGTACTCTTGGCTCGGAGGTAACGAGTAAACCTGGGACGGCAAGGGTCGTGGGTTCGATTGTGGTCGTATGAATTGTTTTCTTTTTTCAAACTAGAAATTTTCCTTTCCAGAAAAACGTGGGCATATTGTTTGTCTGCTTATATTTTCCGACTTAGTTGCCGCATAGTAGAATTGTTTTTTTTTATTGTACGAAATGTAAACCGTAGTTGTTTTTATTGTGTTTTGTTAAACTTCTGATGTCTTTAATTTAAGTAAACGTGACTTCGTATATATAATTCTTTTAGCTTAAAAACCTCCTTCTGTGAAACTGATTTCGGCTTATACTATTGGCATAGTGACCCACTTTTGTATCGTTCCAAAGAAACATAAATTTAATGCTCACCTCAGGATCGCACAAAATGCTATAAATCTTAAATTAGAAAATTCTGTTCATGACAACAATTTTGTCTTCAGTTCTACGGGATTTTACTCACTTTTTTGGCTCAGTTGCCGATCGATTTGTTTTTGGGTTTTCGTTAAACGCCCTCTTTTGTGTTTTAGGACAAATTTTTTGGAAATGGAACATCATTGAAGACAAAATCTTAAAGTCTTAGTTATGGTTTTTTCATTTTTTCTGGACGTAATGGCTATCCTTTTATTTCCTGCCTGCTAGCTTGCAATGCTCTTTTCATTTGTTGTTTTCAATGTAGGCTGTGTAGTTTTTACTCAAATTTCTTAAATTTTGTTCACGCTCAGTTTTTGTTTTTGGTGGACAGGCCTTTGTTCCAACTAAAAAATGTGAATAAAATTTTTTGCTTGGCTTTTTTATTCAGGCAAATTTGATCTTTTTATGATATTTGTCAGAATTTTTTAAAGCATCGTAAAGATCTGGATGTTTTTAGCTAAAATAACAAAAGATATTTCACTTATGGGTACAATAATTTGTATTGAAAATGAAGAATCTGCGATAATTAGCGATTATATATTTTGTTTTTCATAATGCGAAACAGAATAATAATCCGGCTCAGAAATATTCCTTAATTTAATATTGCGTTATCAGACGCAAAATTCTTCCGTGCGTATTTTATCTAGCGTGTTTATAAGAGTCATGAACGCAGTGAACACTTTTGTATAGGTCTTGGTGATTTTTTGTTAAAAATAGATGAGCGTAGCGAAGACTCTAATGGGGGTCGTGATGATTTTTTTTCAAGGAAAAGTCTTAAAATGTTCTTATAACAAAAGAAGTGCATTCATTCATATAATTGCACATATGAATACCCTACGATATATATGCACTGTTTCAAGTCAAGTTCATTTGCTAGATGGTATTTTTTCATTACAGTAAAAGGTATCATTTCAGCAACATATCAGTTCAATCCAAGTTCATTTGCTAGAAAGTACAGTCACGGTACATTGATGTTGCAATTTTTTGTTTTAAACAAGCAGAAGTAGTTTTTGTCATTTTATCGGCAAGTATGCGAAATAAATGATTGAATTTTCGACACATGTTAGATTAAAACATTTGGAAAAAGCCTACCAGATCAAATCTTGAGACATTTTAATTTGAAGGCGTAAAATAGCCAGAACTAGTGTGTTCTTTCAGAACAGAGATGTCCTTTCTCTGGAAATTATCTCAAAACCAACGCAAATTTTAATATATGTGCTTAAATTGTTTCTTTGGGAAGCTGATGATCTTCCCATAGTCTCTTAGTGGCTGAAAATCGACAGCCAAATGAATTGAAAAACTTACGTGGTACGGCGTCAATCTGATTTTGACCGTAAAGATCAAAAGGTCTTTGGCGCTTGTACTAGAAAATTTGGATACAAATTAGAAACAACAGAACTGCTGATGAGATTTCAGTGCATGGATTGAAGATGTCATTTTTACAAAAAATCAGCTGGATTAGTTGTTTTGTTGGCTTGTTTCGATCATCAGCTCAAAATTGCTCCTAAAAATTTAACCTTTTTTTGACACCGGACCAAGTAAATTTTCAATTTTTTGGCTGTCATTTTTCAGTGGTCTAGAGACTAACTGATTATCATCAAATTCCTGAACAACCTATTTGAGCCCAGAAATTCAAGTTTCTTGTATTATTTTGAGGACGTTTCCAGAGCAATAACACCTGAAACTAGTTATAATTTGCTGTTTTTTCCGCCTTCCTTGATCCGGTAAGCTGCTCTTTGAAAGCAACAAGTTGCAACTTCTATGTTCCGTGACTGTACGCAAAATGCATGCACTCTTTAGTTATAAAAGCTGACATAGTGCAAAAAATGTAATCGATTTCTAGTTTCGAAAGTGGAATTTAATTTTTAGCGGAAAATGGTATATATTTTTTTAAAAAACAAGTCCAATTTTTCTGTTTCTTTGCGTTCATTGACTTTTGACTCTTTTCCAACTGTCTGTTGGCTATGTTTTTTCAGGAAAAGTCTTTAAATTTTCTAATAACCACAGAAATGCATTCATACCTAATAATGAATTTCTGAATGGAATGCACATAAGTAAATATGCACTTGTGAGTTCAATTCAAATTCATCTGCTTAAGGTTAGGTAAATTGCGCTCCCGAGATAAGAAAGCTTAAATGGCGCTAAAAAAGTCAAAAACTTCATTGACAATTTCCAAAAACAATTTCCAAGCGGAATGAAAAGTTAACTTTTGATCCAGTTTTCTCAATTTTGCTTCCTTGTATCAGAAAAGTGTGTATTAAAAATTGTTCTTGAAATTCATAGAGTTTTTCCAAACTAGGTTAGTTGAAAGATTCTTGAAATTCAAGTTTAAAGGCTATATTTTGTCTTTGAAAATGCTGAACCTTTTTCAACTGTCTCTTTGCTACGTTTGTTTTCTAGCTTTTGTGTAAACCATGAAATTGCCTACGTTTGGATCTATTATTTTTTCATGCTTTGATTGACATATTTCCAGTCTTCTGTGGCCAGTTTGCTTAGTTTCATTTTGTGAACGTGAAGTTTTGTAGCAAGGCGTAATAACAACCGGTTCAGGTGTATAAAACAGTTACGAGCTTTGGCCATCTATGCCAGCTTTAAGGCGATCTATTTTTTTCTTCGAAGATCGAAAGTTGATTTTTTTCAAAAAACCAGTCAGTATCTTTTTTCTGTTTATTTGCGTTCCTTAACTCTTTTAAAACTGTCTGTTTGCTTTAAAAAAAATAAAAATTAAAATTTATATAAATTGTTTAAGAAAGTTATAAAAATTGTTGGCATCTCAGTTTGAATTTTTTCCGAAACTATTTAAAGTTTCCTTTAGAAATTTAAATTTTTCTTCAGTCTGTTTTTTAGCAGTTTTTCCGAGATAAGAAAGCTTAAATGGCGCTAAAAAAGCCAAAAGCTTCATTGACAATTTCCAAAAACAATTTCCAAGCGGAATGAAAAGTTAACTTTTGATCCAGTTTTCTCAATTTTGCTTCCTTGTATCAGAAAAGTGTGTATTAAAAATTGTTCTTGAAATTCATCGAGTTTTTCCAAACTAGGTTAGTTGAAAGGTTCTTGAAATTCAAGCTTAAAGGCTATATTTTGTCTTTGAAAATGCTGAACCTTTTTCAACTGTCTCTTTGCTACGTTTTTTTTCTAGCTTTTGTGTAAACCATGAAATTGCCTACGTTTGGATCTATTATTTTTTCATGCTTTGATTGACATATTTCCAGTCTTCTGTGGCCAGTTTGCTTAGTTTCATTTTGTGAACGTGAAGTTTTGTAGCAAGGCGTAATAACGACCGGTTCAGGTGTATAAAACAGTTACGAGCTTTGGCCATCTATGCCAGCTTTAAGGCGATCTATTTTTTTCTTCGAAGATCGAAAGTTGATTTTTTTCAAAAAACCAGTCAGTATCTTTTTTCTGTTTATTTGCGTTCCTTAACTCTTTTACAACTGTCTGTTTGCTTTAAAAAAATAAAAATTAAAATTTATATAAACTGTTTAAGAAAGTTATAAAAATTGTTGGCATCTCAGTTTGAATTTTTTCCGAAACTATTTAAAGTTTCCTTTAGAAATTTAAATTTTTCTTCAGTCTGTTTTTTAGCAGTTTTTCCGAGATATGAAAGCTTAAATGGCGCTAAAAAAGTCAAAAACTTCATTGAAAAATTCCAAAAACAATTTCCAAGCGGAATGCAAAGTTAACTTTTGATCCAGTTTTCTCAATTTTGCTTCATTGTATCAAAAAAGTGTGTATTAAAAATTGTTCTTGAAATTCCTAGAGTTTTTCCAAACTAGGTTAGTTGAAAGATTCTTGAAATTCAAGCTTAAAGGCTATATTTTGTCTTTGAAAATGCTGAACCTTTTTCAACTGTCTCTTTGCTATGTTTGTTTTCTAGCTTTTGTGTAAACCATGAAATTGCCTACGTTTGGATCTATTATTTTTTCATGCTTTGATTGACACATTTCCAATCTTCTGTTGCCTGTGTCGCACGGATCTCAAGTTACGTGAAGAATTACTTTTCTCTCTGTGAAAGGAAGTAATCACTCTTCCTTTGTCCGTAAATTTCCTGTTTTCATGGCCGTTGATCTTTTGTGAGCCATAATCTTTAAAAATAAACCCGTATCTACTACACTAAACCATGCATGCTGTATACCATTTATAATTATTATAACTGATGTCTGATAATATTTTATTCAAAGCCACTTGTGCTCTAGATGCAAGTCTCTTTAAACTGCGCTGTATCTTGTACAAGCAATAGGCGGCTAATATATGCGAAATGGTCTGCAGTTGCTTCGATGGTGTTTCTACATGTTATCAAGAGGACAAATTTAAGCTGAATTGGTATGGGACCCTTTCAGGTTGTTTCCTTGTTATCGTGTTCTACTTTCTACATCGTTTGATAGATGAACGTTCAACTAGGAAATGCATATTGCATGCTGAATCTAAAATTAATGTCGAAGAAGCTTAGTGGCTTCTTGGTGAATTCAAAAGCGATAGTTGAAGATGACGGCTCATCAGTTTGTGATACTTAACGTATGGAGTAGTAATATTTACTTGGCTTACGTTAAGTTTACAGATTCCCGATTAGAATTAATCTAAAGTGTGAAGTAGAAAGTGATATGCTTTGGAAAATGGTAGAAAGAGGATAGATAACTATAACTTTCTCAGCAATCTCCTCCACAGTCTACAGTTTGCTTAGTTTCATTTTGTGAGCGTGAAGTTTTGTAGCAAGGCGTAATAACGACCGGCTCAGGTGTATGAAACAGTTACAAGCTTTGGCCATCTGTGCCAGCTTTAAGGCGATCTATTTTTTCATTCTAAGTTCGAAAGTTGAGTTCAAAAAACCAGTCAGTATGTTTTTTCTGTTTACTTGCGTTCATTAACTCTTTTACAACTGTCTGTTTGCTGTGTTGTGTCAGTTCCGCTAAACTGTGAAATTAATTATCATGAGTAAACTCTGTACTTTGGCGTGCGTCGGATCGAATACCGCCGGAGCAATTTAAATTTTATCAATTTAAATTTCTCGATTTAAATTAAAATCTTTCATTTAAATTGAGTGGGCTCATGATTTCACATTTAAAGAAATTGAAATTGAAATAAAAATTTGAATCAATTTAAATTGTTTTTTTTTAAATGGACATCACTGAAGTTAATGTTAGTTTTTAAGTTAATGAAAAACAAATTTGACAATTCGAATACCACTAGTTTGTTTGGAATTTCAAGTTGAAACTCTTCCTATCGAATGACAATTTCACGCTTTGAGAAAGTCTTTTTTCTTGCCATTTTGTCGATTTACAGCAGTTCAAATTCGTTCGATTCTGCTAAGATTTGGTAAACCTCTTTTGTGTTTTAGATGGCCGAGTGTTCTACTCATAGTAAGTTTTTTCTTTGCTTATATAAATTTCTTTTAATTTGATTTCAGAAAAACAGAATCAGTGTTCTCATTTTCCTTGCTGATCATTAAAACGTAGGAAGTTTTGCTAATATTGAAATTTGTGCTTTTACGTGTTATGATGAATCTAAATTAATTCAATGTCTTGCCACTCATTTATTCGTTTCCTGTTTTCAGTGAGAGAGATCGATACACTTCGTGGATACACCCTGTCACAAGACAGCCAATGGGGACGGGTTTCTTCCCTAGAAGAGGTTAGTAAAATAGGCTCGAAATTGTATTTTAAGGAATTGCATATTTGTCTTTTTGGTTTAGTTAAAAGAAAAGTTCTATTTGTTAAGAGAAAAGCAAATAACGGTCTTCAATTACGAAATCGTGAATGACTTAGTTTCGAAAGTGGACTTCATATTTCAGAATTCCAGCAGAATAAAAAATACCTATTGATTCCGGTTTCTCCTTTTGGGTTTGTTTTATATAATGAAGGGTCTTTCATAAAAGGTTTCTGAAAATCAAAGAACTTCAAGTGATGTATTTTTTTTCCGAAATGTGAAAGTTTAAAAAGAACATTGATTGACAATTTTCCAACTTTCTAATGGCTATGTTTTAGATCTTCCAAATGGTTGGGAACAAGCAATAACCAAAGAAGGTGCAATATATTTTATCGAGTAAGTATTTATTTCTTCTATATTGAGCGAAATTCTGCTGCCGTCATAAGCTGCCCTAGCTCTTTTTATTACACTCAAGCATTTATAGTTAATAACACAGCGAGCTTGTGAGCGAAGTTTCATATGATCATTTAATACAATCATTCCTGTGGCCTAAGAAATTAGACGATGAGCAAATTAGACGCATGCTACAAAAACGAAATTAGACGAATTGTTTTTTACAGATCTGGCATTTTAGACGTCACTGCTATGAAAAGGAAAGGGCCAATTAAATTTTTTCTTAAGAGTCAAGTTTCACAAATACAAAAAGAACATAAAAAATGACAATACCTATCAAAACAATTAGTTTAAATGAACATAAATTGTCAAATCCGAATATTACTGGAGAGTTTTAAATTGAATAAATTATGCATGATTGACATGTAAAAGTTTTGGCCAATAAAATTTTATTTTTCTCACGCAATTGTTTGCAAACATTTTAAATCTCTCTCACTTTCGTCCATTTTCTCAGAATTGCAGTATTGCAAAATCGTCTAATTTCCTTTTAGGTGCCTCCGTCTAATTTCTCAACCCCCTCATTCCTGTTATGTGATCATTCCAAAGTGGGGACAATTTAAGTGAATAAATTTGAAAATGCACGGAGCTTGTCACTAATTGGAGCTGGTAAATATTTAAAATATATTTTTTCAATTTTATGCATTTACGAGACTTCCAGCAGCAAACGGAGTCTGAAATCTTGAATGATTTGAATTAGAATTTTATTTGAAAATAAATAATCGAAAAAACAATCTGCAATTTAAATTTTTTCGGCTTACTGGTCTTTCCTCTCAATTCACGTCGGCTTAGCTTTCGCTCTGTTTTTTTTTGACAAACTTTGAAATATTTATAAAAATTGAGCATGAAAATTAGTCTTTTGTGGATTTTTTTTGTTTCTGGTGTTTGACAGGCTGTTCGTTTAATTTTTGATAGAAGATTTTATGTGTAGTTATGCCTACGCAATGAAATGTATATATATTGTGAGGCGCAGAGACAATTCAGCCACAGAAAGTTCAGCCGATTTGATATACAGACACTTCAGCCAAAAAAACTTAGACAATTCAGCCAAAGACAATTCGGCCTATTTAGATTAAAGAGACTTGATACAAGGAAAAATTAAAACTTTTCTAATTTGATTAGAGTCAGAAGGCTTTCAACACTTTAACAAAGAAATGCAAAACATCAAATAAGAAATTTCAAAGATCAAAACAAACTCGCTGTGCATAAAGTTTTAGGATATATGTACATTGAAGGTACAAAATTTTAAATACTTCTGTATATGGTCTCGATTGTAGTTTTTTCCGTTCTGAACAAGTTTCTCATTTGCGATTGAATACTTGGGTCTCGGTTTCTTGATAATAGCACCGGACATCAGTCTCTCCTCATTAATTTCGGCGTTCTTTTGCTCATCTTTGAAACTTAGGATCAATTTGGGGAGGGCTGGGTGCTTTGTGGATACGAATTTTTTGAAGCTGCCATCCATGCCTCCAATGTATTGTTCGTACGAGGTTCTCCGCTGAGCACCCGATTAAAAACGTTCCAATCGGCAATGTCAAATTTTGGTTTGACGCGTCTATTCTGTCTACAGGCACCAATATAGGTGTCTTCAAAATAGTCCGATAGACTCTGAAATTCCTCTGAGGGATCCTCTTTTCGGAGCGCCTCAAAAGCGAAAATAACGTCGTCAACGGGAACGAATGCCAAGTAAATCATTTTTTGACATTCAGTCGAAACTCATCATCGTCCATGTACTTGCGCGTATATCCCAGCTTTTGTACATTGCGCCATACTAGCTGGCCCAGGTGGAAGAAACAGAATTGAATTTCTGTATCAGGCTGCATTTTCCTTATGGCGTTTCGAACAGCGGCTTCAAAATCAATGACTACATTTTTTCCAAATTGCTCTAAGCAGCCAAAAAGTTTGAGTCTTGTTGGGCAGCAGTGTATACACCAAGGGTATAACTGCGTTTTTGATTACACTATGAATAGTATAAACTTGGTAGACGACATCTGGTGGCACTGAAAACTTTCCATCGCAAGGACAGATTTCTGACTGAGAGAGCAAATCGAGCGCAGGTAATGTTACAAAAACTAAAATTCGACTGTACGACTAACCAGTATCAAAATATAGGACTGTATCACCGCTGTGTGGGAGTTTGAAAGGTTCAGGAATTTCGTCAATGCTCTAAAGGTATTGTTACTAAGGAATTGTTTCTCTTTTGGCATTGTTTCTAAGGCTTGCTGCCTGATTTGTTTTATACTCCGAAGAGATGCTGAGTAACTCGGTATTGTCGGCGCTGCATAAAGAGGCAGGTCAATTTGGGCTTTGAAGACAATCTGGCGGGGAGCGTTACCAGTGTTTGCGGCTTTTTCTGAAATTTCGCTAGGAAATTTCTTAGTTTGAAGTTTTGAGGGGCTCGGTCAATGAGCGTGCTCGGTTTTTAAAGTGAATTCTTACTGTTCGTCCAAATAACCTTCTGCTCTGCAGTTTCCAGATGTACATTGCCATTTATTGAGACCGTTCTGAAGTTGGTTTTTCACGGTATCTATAACCATCAAGACATAGATGCTTTTTTTCCGCGTTCGGATAATACGTATTCCGTTTTACGTCAAAATTTGCTAAAGGTGAATGAATGAGATTGATTCAGATACTAAACAACCAGTTGTTCAAGCTAGTTACTAATGAAACTTAATCAATGTTAATTGTGTGAATGGACCATCTAACTGCAAAAAGTAGGCGTTAAACGCGGTACTGGTTTCTGGTTGGACAAAATTTTAATCGCAATTAATTATCTTTTAAAGGAGTTTTAGTTTCAAATTAGTTTCAACCAAATTACCTGATAGGCGGTTGCACCCTCCCCCGCCTAAGGCATGATAAGAATATCACCGTAACTGTGTGCCCAGTACGTGGTATGCGTGGTCAACCCTTTAACTGATATCCTTTTTGACCGCCTGTAAAATTCCCAATATCGGGTCTACTTTCGTGTAAATTGGTTATTTTTTAAGTTTTGTGCAGTTTTTGTTGAGTTCGATTTTTCCTTAGCTACTATTCTAAAATTGGAAACATAATGAGTTGCATAAAGTTTTATTATGTTTAGGTACTTTTGGTTCTGTTATTTTTTTCATTTGTTTTATGTGCAATTGAAAGGATTTAATTATAAGTTGTCTAATGAAAGCTTTGATGTTTTGCTGCATGTGAAAAGTTTTTGTGTGCAAGTTTTAAAACTTTTTAACTGTCTGAATAGTCTTTGGCCGAATTGTCTCACTCGTTTTGACTTAAATCAAATGAAATCCTTAATTCATTAAAACGGTTTCTGTCTTATTGAAATTTCTGTTCAACATCAGTTCCGACGTAATGAAAATTCGTAATATCTTTCCATGTAATGTTTATCTTCAATGCTTGAGGGTGTTTTGCGTACCTGGTTTTATTCTGATATACTGGTACATAATTGATATTTGTAGCTTATATTGTAATCAATCGAATTTTTTGTTCAAGTTGCGTTCATGCTATGCTTTCAGTTGTGGCATTGTTGAGTTCTTAGCCTCCATCACAGCTTACGACTGCTAAAACTTTATTCGTGTGAATGGATGTTGACTATTTTGCCAAAATTTTTTGGATGCTCAATAAAATTTTAAAATATGTTTTGTTCGACTCAGTTCATTTCGATCTACGAAGCTTGCATTCCGATGTATGAGTTTTGTCGCTGTTTCCATAATCAGAAAAAAATGAATTGCATATTTAAATTGGTATGACAATCTTTTTTAAAATATCCTTTCCATAGTTTATTTGCTGTAACTGTTTCATCTAGAATATTTTGCTAGACAGCAATGACCGCAAAGAGAATGGTCGGTTAATTATTTCGCGCTTTGAACGTTCGTTTTTTGAGATTCTTTTTCTTTGCGTATCATTCATTGTAATTCTCATATTGAAACAGAAAGCCGAGAAAATTTATATTTCAAATCAAAGTTTCAGAAGTTAAAGACTTACAGTTTTTTTGTTCGGCTAGCTTAGAAGAAATATCTTGATTTACCAAGCTAATGAGCTTATGAACTGACTTACATATCCGAGAGAAATTTAATGTTTACGATTGAAAACCGCAAAAATTTTTAGAAAAAGAGTTGGAACAAAACTTAAAAAAGCATTTGATTCTTATTTTTTCTTATCAGAAATTATATTTGACATCATGGAACAATACTCGGAGCTGAGTCAACACCTACTAGCGGTAAAGTAAGTTTGTTCAGAGGGATCAGAGGTGAGCTAATTGAAATCATAAATGGAAAACATTGAATATTAAGTAAAGGAAGCGAAATCGGAAAGTGAAATTAGCAAAGGAAAATTTGGAACGGGTGCAAAAAAAAATGAATGAGTGATTACAGGCACAGGACTGATATAGCCGAAAAGACTGCCTAGTGATCTGCAATCCCCTTTGACGCATATAAGAGTCAAAATGTACTATGTGACACATTGCGGTTCTTCAAGGGTATCGATTATTCAGCTGATGGAATTAAAGCCTGCCATATTTTACCCGGGACTGGCACTGATGTTTTATATCTATCAGTCATAGTCAAGTTTTTGTACTTCGACAAAAAGGATACTGGTCTCTCAGCTCGTTGGAAACTTTAAAAAAGGAGAATAGAATGGAATGGTAAATTTTTTTATAAATGAAAAATTACCACAGTACGAAGCAGAAATCAAAGCGGAGTTATGACTAATTTAAAAATGAAAAATCTTCACACACTGGGTTATCCTGCGATATGAACGAGTTGGCTCAGCTAAGCAGTTAATTAATATAATTGATTATTTTTCGTATGAAAGCAAAAGTGTTTGTGTACCTTGCGATATTCGTGGTGTGGCCCGAATGAACTATGTGTTGTCGTATCAAAAAGTATGCAGCAGTATTATAGAAAGAGACCTTTTGAAAACTTAAAAATCACATTTTCCTAAAAAGAAATCTGGAAATTTTG